CTCATAAAGGGGCAAAGAGATTCCAGTTTGTTTCACTTAATGTTGGTTTGTTGTTACCCTGCCTCCTGCAAAACCCCATCTGTTACTCTGAATGTCTTTGCAGTGGCTGATAAATAGTATGAACTCACCATAACACTCATCCTTTAAGAGTTGGTCAGTTGCTAAAATGAGATAGAAGACAGAAATGGTCTTGCTTTTTGAGATTTTCAGTTGTTATCAGAATGTTCTAGCCAAATACAATCCTCAAGCACTGTTTTGTTCTCTGATTTCTAGACAAGGCCTATGGTAGGATTTAGGCAAGGTTCTTTCATTTCCTTATCTGAAGATGCTAGAGACTGAATATGGACCTTGGGAATGCAAAGCATGTGCTCTACCACTAATGGATGGCCTTTGTCAATATAGATATGCTGCCTAAGTATCTGCTGTAGCAAATTATGGGTGTTGCTAGACTTGAGGTCTATAAGCTGGTTTCAAATCATGCCTATGTTGAACTCCTGGGTTATTTGCTTGAAATGTTTTGCTTTCATTCCCATAAAAGGGAAGAGGGAAAGAGGAAGGAGATTTAAACATTTAATGTCATGAAAGGAAATGGGGAATTGAGAGAGGGGTTCAAAATTGGATCTCATTGTGGAACAGTAAATGAACTTTTGAAGGGTGAAAGGGGTGTCTTCCATTTTTCTTACAGCTACTTTCTCTTCCTCTGTCCTTTATTGCTTACTTCTATTGAATTAGGAAATAGTAGAAGATACATAACACAGTTTAAGAGACATGGAGGTCCCTTCATGCCACTGTTTTCCTCACTGTCTCTTCCATTCCTTCCTTTACTTTCTGAGAGGGGATGTCCAGAAATTAATTAGATTTCAGTCTTGTAGCTTACCTCATTCCAAATAAGTCTGAAGAACACAGGCATTATAAAAAGGCTCACAGAGAATTCTGTACACTTGAGAAAGTTATACAGATACTGTCGAGTCTTAAGTCAAGGGGAGAACACATATGCAATTTAAAGGTACATAAAATCCATCTATTTTGTAAAATTAGCATACAAATATGTACAAACATCTGTATGAGAACTGGAACAATTGCAATCTGACATCAATCTCTGTCAGCAAGAACATAGAAGTTTGAAGAAATGTGATGGGTTTTACAGATGCACTCAATGCCTGGTCTTAGTTACTCGTTAATCTGTGGTCTTTTGAAGCTTTCTTGACTGCTTCAGCCACACTCTCCTGTTGACTGACAATGTCCAGCCATCTGGCTGATTTTATTCTCCACTCCTCACAGCTTGTATTTCTGCCATTGCAAATGGAAATGAAAATATTAAGACGCTGATAACAATTAAATGCCTCCTCTTGGACTTTCATTTCCCTGTGCATTTTGTAGGGGTCTGTTCAGCATTCACTCTCGAATGGAGTTCACCCATCAATGTTCTCTATATGGCTTAGTCTTTGGACTAGTCATTGATGGAAAACCAGGAAGTGGCAAGAGTGTTCTTTATTAGGCTGTACATTACTTCTGTCACAACTTTGGTGTGTGTGTATTCTGTTGTGTCTGACTTTTCATGGACGAGAGCATGCCAGGTGACAGGTTTGATGTAAACCTGAAGAGAATTGTTAATCCAGTTTTGTATGAAGCAGTTGTAAATAACTAAAACACTGTAAGTATTTGTCAGAATCAATAGTAAGAAAGAATGTAAAGTAGCAATTTATACAGCAGGGATGATACAAGAATTGTATTAGCTGTGAAGAAAAACCTAGGATAGGCTGAGCCAAGAATAAAGCCAGCAGCCTCAGCACACATACTCTGATGGTGGTGTGGTAGATGTGGTCGTGTGGTGATGTGACATCGTGGAGAGAATCTTGGAGAAGAAGAAGAAGAAGAAGACTCTGACTGCTAGACTGATTTACAAGGTCTCTGAACTGATTTATGCCTAAACTCTGTTGATATTACTGTGAATGACCATTGGACTGAATGAGGACAAAGCTGTATGTATGTACCCTGCAACAAACTTGATTTAATATAATTTTCTGCTATCAATACTGTCTCTTTGCTTGGTGACTTCATCAATCTGGGAAATTCTACTCGTTAGGTACTACTGAATGGTGGCAACTCAGCTGAGGGAATCTTAGAAGGTGTCACAGCACCCAGCCTTCAACCTCATCTCTAGTACAAAACACACCTGTCCCTTAAACTGGCACTATGGAGTAGTCAGTAGCAACAGCTTAAAGGAAGAAAAAAAAAAGAACAAGCAAGCTTTGAAAGTGGCTGGAGCCCACATCTAAAAATGTGTGTGTGTGTGCAATCTGTATCTTTCTTCAGGGTCTAACATATCCTCAAGATTCATGCTACACAATGCACAATCAGACAATGTTTTTTGAAATGCAAAACACATTTACATCTTCAGCTCTGCAACATTATTACAACATTCTTACCCATACAAGTTCTAAGAAAAAAACAGAAACAGAAGAATTATGGTAGCTTGAAGGCTGACAGAGTCCCTTTGTGAACTTAGACTGAAGCTGAAGCTGAAGAAGAAAAGTGTGCTGCTTATATACTGCTCCATAGCATTTCAAGCACTCTCTGCGTGGTTTACAAGTTAATTAGGCAGGCTACACATAGGCGTCCCCCAGAGAGCTGGGCACTCATTTTACTGACCTTGGAAGGATAGAAGGCTGAGTCAACCTTGAGCTGGCTACCTGGGATTGAACCCCGGGTCATGCGCACAGTTTTGGCTACAGTACAGCAGTTTAACCACTGCGCCATAAGGCTCCTTGATTTTAATTATGCATAGCTTTGTCTGTAATATATATGGATTAGAGATGGGGACAAATAAAAAATGGTGATTCGTTTTGCTCTATTATTCACCAAGGTTAACAGATCAACGAATATACGAATATTCTTCGATGAATGATGGATCGATCTGTTGATTCATCTGCACTTTAAAGGGCTATAACACTGGCCTCCGATGACGTAGAGACACCAAATTTACAGAAAAGTTTTCCTACAACTCCTGAAAGGTTGGTGAACATTGGATCACAGGCCCCTGAGTTATATAGTCACAAAGAGGACCCCAAGGAAAGCTTTCCCCAGATACTTAAAGACTCCAGAATCACAAATGAGCTTCCTATGTCCTTCCCCAACACGCCTGCAACTTTGCTTAAGATTGGATATCGGACATCCCGGTTATTCACCCACAAAGTGGGCCCCCTCAGGAGAGTTTACCACATGGCACAGAAGCCCATTCTGCCTACCGGCTGCCAATCAGCTGATCAGAAGCTGATAGGCTGCTACCCCACACACACACAGCCAGCCACCCCAACAGCCTACACACACACACCCTTCCTTTGCCTACCTTAGCCCCCACCCCACTTCCACTGACATCCTCTTACTTTAATAGCTGCTGCCAAGGTCTCCATCAGGCCTTTGCAGTGTGAAAAAGAGAGACCGGCTGCCCTTTGCAAAGATGGCGGCTGTCGCTTCATTTAGGGTAGGGAATCTGCAGCAATCCAGGCTGCCCTTTGCAAAAATGGCAGTTACAGCTTCCCTACCCTAAATGAAGCAACAGCCGCCATCTTTGCAAAGGGCAGCCAGTCTCCATTTTTACATGTGTGGCTCCGAGGCCAGAAGACCTTGACAGCAGCGATTAATGTAAGAGGGTTTCGGTGAGGGTGGGGTGGCATGGTGTGGTGTGGGGCCTAAGGTAGGGAAAGGAAAGGGGTGGGGGTAGGCTGTGGTATTGGATGGCTGTGTGGGGAGGTGGCTGCCTTTCTGCAGCTGATTAGTTGATTGGTGGCCGGTAGGCAGAATGTTTTTTTTTTAATACAAAGGACGAATAAAAAGGGGTAAATGTAAGAGGGTTTCGGTGAGGGTGGGGTGGCATGGTGTGGTGTGGGGCCTAAGGTAGGGAAAGGAAAGGGGTGGGGGTAGGCTGTGGTATTGGATGGCTGTGTGGGGAGGTGGCTGCCTTTCTGCAGCTGATTAGTTGATTGGTGGCCGGTAGGCAGAATGTTTTTTTTTTAATACAAAGGACGAATAAAAAGGGGTAAATATTCATCCCTTCACATTCGCGGGGTTCTCTGGAACCCACAAATATGGATCAATGAATATTTAACGAATCGGCTATATTTGTCGGAAAAAGCTATCTTTTATATTTGTCCCCATCTCTAACATGGATCACTGGAAACACAGTTCTCCCAATGGGGGGAAATATTGTTCATTTGTCATGGTTGCAGGTTAAAGTATTTACAGAAGCATGTACAGTAATTAATTCCCTAGACACCTCAAATTAAGCTTTTTTGCACCAGTGATACTGATTCAGTTCAGGATGTATTTAAGCACTGTGCTTGTGTTTGTGTGTGTGTGCACACCTGCGTTTGGAAAATTGATGAGACCACATTTTCTACTACATTCCCTTCAGCTTCTTCTAATTCTATAAGTTCTAAATGTACAGCACTCAAAATAATTGGCATCAAGACTGGCTAGCACTTAAGAAAATATTAATAGAAAGGAATTATACTTGAGGACATTATTTCGGACAAGGTATGTTAACAAAGAAATAAGAAATGTTGAAGGTTTTTAGCAGCATGCTTGTCCAATCTGATGTCAAGGCCAGTCCAGGGGTTTTGGAATGTACGTCATTCAGCATAGAGTGATTTGTGTTCTATTCAGTTTGTACTCCAGATTTGAGCCAACTTGTATGCCTTCTGTTGGTTTATATTGGAAACCAAAGAGGCAGTAGCTTCTTTCTCTGGACAGTGATCTGTAAAAGCTATCAGAGGATAGATCCTCAGGAAAACAGTAAATCTGTCAGGTTCAGAGAGCTTGTGTACAAGGGACTTTTCAAGTTTGCTTGTTTAGAAAAAGAAGGAAGAAAGGAAAAAAAGAAAATCTTTTCTCAATCCACACAGCTTACCCTTTAGCATCATAGCAACCATGGAACACAACTTTAAAAATAGAAAGGCCTGCTATTCTAGAAGCAGCATTCTGAGAATTTTATATCGCACTCTGAGCTTGTTTTCCACAACTGTTAAAAAGCTCAGTGAGTTAGGTATCTGGCTGAGGAGCCAGAGGTTAGGACTTCCCCCACTGTTTCTCCCAGGAAAAGAGTCAGGCCGTGTGGCTTTGGAGAAGCTGCATTGTCCCAGGAATGACCCCAGAAGAACATAAACGAGTTCTGAGTACATTCTACCTAGAAAATCCTAAAAAGGTTTGCTGTAGATCGGAATTGATTTGACGGCACACAATTATTATTATTGTTTTGTCTGATCTAGTGATCATAATGTATAACCTATTGGGAAGCTAATCCAAGCCAATTCCTTGATGCTAATTTTGAAGTAAACCAAAAATTAAGCATTCACAGAAGATGTGTTCTCACTACATTTAAGATTTTGCCTTTTTATTGTATTTTAAATGTTGTAAGCTGCCCAGAGACCTTCAGGTAGTGTGGGCGGCACATA